ACCCTGGCATCTTTACCGACTGGGCATTGTCCGATGATACGGGCACAGGATTCGTTCTCAGCTTGGCAGTGTCTACAGGACCTGATGTATCCGTCTTTCTTCCCTCTCGCTAGGTATTCTCTGGTGGGGTGGACATTCACCCTCGATTGTAGAGCTGTCAGGAGCTTCTGGTGGGGTATACCTCGATAGTTCTTAATCCAGTTATTGCTAATCGTATCCTCTTCAAAGTTGGGGATTCCTATACCTTGGGACTGTAATGGAGTCCATTTTTGAAATTCCATTTTCTTCCAGTTCCAAGGCCGTAGGTATATGTTTTTTGGTGTACTTATTTCCCATTCTGATGTATCTTCCTCACCCAGATTAGATGCCTCCACCGTTGGTTTGGGTGCCCAGATATTCGGTATTTTATCTTCATCTCCTCCAGCTGTTATCCACAATTTCTCGTATATCTGTGCAGTGTTTTCTTCCTGCAGAACAGCCCTTAAAGTATCGTCAGAGCACTGTGCCAGCCTGTGTAACCTCCTGGCTTGTACACTCGGGATCAGTGCCTGCAGTTTTATAATACCTAATCCTCCATCCTTCATGCTGGAATATAGGGTGGCATCACAAGTGTTGGTCGGTAGACGTAACCATTTCTTAACAATTGCCCTAATCCTTAAATCTAGGGCTTCCAAGAATCCTGGTTTTGTCTCCGTGTGGTCTGCTAGATATCTTACTCGAGGGATCACATATGTTTTTAAAATGTCCACTCTTTGTAGTGGTTTGAGTGGTGCCTCACTAATGCAGTTTAGCTGAGTTTCTATTTTTGATGACAAATCTGGCTTGGCTGTTTGTACCCAAGGATCTGTCTGAAGGCCTGGATATTTCCCTGAGCTACCAGGACAAACCATATTGAGGGGTGTACCACCTATAGTCCATGAAGGACAATCATTGATTGTATATGAATCTCTGGCAGGTTGGATGAAAAATCCATGACATTTCTCCTCTTGTGTCCTAAGACCAGTTAGATCGCAGAATGTCTCAAGAATCTTGATGTTCCTTTTCATACCTTCCCAGGATCCACTAAGGAAGACCAGATCGTTGGCAAATGCCATTGCAGTTTTCGAGTTATTTCCATGATGAAACCCTTCTCCATACTGTTCTAATTCACATAATAAAGGATCCACAGCCAAATTGAATAACAGTGGAGACATAGGGTCACCTTGTTTGACCCCCACTTTTATTTGAATTGGATCTGATTGTTCATTTTTGGTGCCAATTTGAGTGTAGATGTTTTCGTACATATTTGCAATCAAATTAATAATAGGAGAATCTACACCTTTTTGTTTCAGGCCTGTGATAATGTGTTGATGGTTTACTGTGTCCAAAGCCTTTGCAGTGTCAACAAACACCACTGCCAGCTCTCTATGTTGTCTTTTTGCACTCTTTATAAGAAGTTGTAATAATTTCAAATTTTCGGAGCAGCCTGGTGATTTTATAAATCCCCTTTGTCTTGGGTTTATGGGGCACACCTTTGCTAGCCTTGCCATCAGTATCCTTGAAAATAGCCTTAGAATGACAGACCTGTGTGGTGGTTTGAAACTCCCAAGAATGTAATTTTTAAGTTCAAGCCCCCCTCCCACAGTTTGCCCCTGTGAGAGGGTTTAGTGATGGTATGGACTTGACATCTTTTTCACCTCATGTGGAGTTTTCAGACAAAACACAACCATTCGTTATTTTGGGAAGGGGAAAATATTTACAAAGGTTTACTTACACCCACATATCTATTTACATTAAACTAAATTTCTCCTTTTTTCAATAAAAGTCCAAGAAGAAAAGAGAAAAGTCTTTCTGTCACTCCTCAGGCCACAGTTCCTTCATTTCAGTTTTTTGTGGCACTGGTCAGTGTCCTTCATTTTCCTGAGGCAGTAGATTTAAGTGTGGCAGTCAGGATTTTGGTTCTTACTTTGTGGAAATTCCAATCCTGAGCCTTCGGGGGATTTCCTTGTAGATTTTCACTCCTCTTGGGTTAGAACATCGAAGGCAGCTTTCAGTTCAGCCTTACCAAAGCTCTTCTGCTCTGTCTCAGCTCGGCAGCACGATAGAAGCAGCAGCAGCAGCAGCAGCAGAGGGCACGGCCACCTCCTCCGCATTCCGTCCTGGCTCAGCTCTCGGGACGACTCTGGGTTTTTTCAGCTCCTTTCTCCCTCTCTCTCTCTAGCTGCTGCTGCATTTTGGGACTCCCTAAGGGTGTGGAAGTCCACCCCTCCTCTTCAGGAAGTCTCTGGGTTTTGGGAAAGTAATACAGTCTTACCCCAAACCAGCTCTGTTGAGTTTTCCTCTGTTTTGTTGCCGGCTCTCCCTCCTGCAGGAAATCTCTGCATCCTTCAGCTGGCTTCACGTTATCTCGCTGCTACTGGCTATCATTTGGCTTTCAACCATCGCTGTCTCTGTTCAGGACTGCTCCTCTGCTGATTTTCAATGTCTTCTGCTGTTGCTGACAGTAAGGAAACTCTTCCAGCTCTTGATTACGGGACCCGGTCCAGCTTTCACACTATACCGGGTCTCCTGTAGCCGCAGCTGGGGCTGGGGGCCCTTGGCCCCCAGAGGGGCTCACTGCCTCCTCGTGGCTCAGATCATGGCTACCTCCCTTCTAAACTATCTTCACCACCTTCTCTTCCGTTTCTGTGGGCATGGAATATTCCATAGGGCGCACGTGGACTATTGATTGGTCCAGTATTATCAGTGGGGCAAACCATTACTACCTCAGAGAAAAGGTTTTTCAAACCACTACAACCCAATAGTAATGGGTCTCCAACTATTGATGTCATTGAGACGGTCTGGCTTGGTTGATTTAGGTAACAATATAGTTCGGCATCCCCATACCATGTCTGGTATTTTTCCAGATGTTAACCATAAATTAAAAATTTCTGCCGTTTGAGAATATTTGGGATCCATTTTAGTTAAATCCTTTATCGTGATCCCATCCGGTCCAGGAGCTGCATTTTTATTTATCTCATTGATTGCAATTTCTTTTTCTGTGATCATGGCTTTAAAGGCGTTGTTATCAGCCATTCCTATAGATTGATAGTTTCCAAGATCTTTGAACTCACCAGTTGTTTCCCATCTGGATTTAAACACAGAGTATACCTCTGGGAGTGGTATTTCACATTTCACAGACTCTGTATCATCAAGGATTATCCTTGCCAATTTCCCTCGATCTTTATAAAATAATTTTTGAAATCTCAGATATTGCCCCTTTTTAACCGCTCTCTTTTTCATCCAGTTTACTGTCTTTCTCTTACTCTGTGTATCCTGGGGTTTGTCTCTTTTCGATTTTACATTTGATGTTTTTTCTATTCGACACCTGGCCTCGAGGTGTCCATACCACTCTTTTGTTGTATCATTAACTAATGTGTGGATGTCTGTTGTCCCCTCAGCTGTCTTTTGGAATGCCCTGGGGTAGTTATTCATCTTTCTTGATTTTATCCCTTCCGTAATCATTGCCATGTAATGTGCTCTCAGCTGATCCAGGCTCGATGTTTCCATGTTTGTTGGATGTTTCTTTCTTTTCTCTACCTGTACATGTACTTCCTGATTTTCCCTTTCTTTTTGTACAGGATTCATATACCGCCCTTTGTCGCTAATTTGTTTAACTGTCTTAGTTGGAATATGTTCGGCAATTAATTCATTAATATATCTCTTTCCCTCATATTATTTCACCAATTTTTCCAATAATTCTTCCTCCTCTTTTGACCAGCACTTACGAGATGACTCCCGAGCTGTTCTCCCTTTAGGGTGAGCAGCAGCAATCCCTTCCTTATTTCTGGTTTCTGGGTGACTCAGCCTTTTGTGCTGTCTCAGGCTTATTTTTGATTGAAAGCTCCTCCCACGTTCCTCACAAGTCCAATCTCCAGATGGAACCACTTTGTTAGCACCTCTGCACAGTGGATAGTGACAAACGATAGAATGATGATTCTCTCTCTGCAGACCACATTTTATACATTGGAAAATGATCTTTCTTTTTTCCATGTGATCGAAGAAGGTGGTCTGTGAGTCCCTGTACTCCCATTAGTTTGGTTTTACTACAAGGACAAGATGGAATTTTGTCCAGTAACCTCACCAGTGGTATTTCTCCTGGTGATTGGTCTTTCTGGGAGTCTAAAATAGAGTCTGTAGCGAGTATAAATGAGTCCTCCTCATCTCCATTGTTTTCATTTTCAGTGTCAGAGAGATTGTTTTTATTTTCTCTGACTGAGTCTGGTGTAAATGACTCGTAAACTTCTGGAAGTAAAGCCAATTTATCCCCTTGTATTAAAGATTGAGTTGCCTGCCAGTTCTCTGTCTCCTTTGAGCTAGAGAACTCTAACTGTTGCAACTCAGTTTCGTCTGATGTTGTTACTAAGGGACTTGATGTTTCATCTGATTTGGCTACAAAAGGTTTCCAATCATTAGGATCAGTTTGAGTGGCTGTTGGTACATGCATAAGCCTCATCAACCAGCCCATTTTGTCAATTTATGTAGTTTGTCCATCCAAGTGAGAGATGACAAGGTTAACAGTACCCCTCAATATCTGTCAACCTGTGCCCAACTTGAGCCCGTGGGCAAGGTTCTGGGTAAATAACTTCTGTAAGTTATTACCAAAAATTTGTATCACTTTTGTTTGATGACTCTCGCTGGGCAGTGACTCCAGACGATAGGGAGAGAGAGGCTTTAACCCCTCCTCCGAACTGGGGCCGAGGCCGACTTAGTTACCTGTGAAGGGCATCCAGCGGGACCACGAGGAGGTGCGACCACTGCGGCTGAGCCCAGTCAGTAACTCTGCTCCCACCTTAGGAGAGTGATAGTTACTCCCGCCGTTTACCTGCACTTCACTGAATTTCTTCCCTTTGCCATTGAGAGCTCTGGGCAGAAATCCCAGCGCGTCAGCCCCCGCCGTGGGCCTTGGCGATGCTTGGCTTTAATTAAACAGTCGGATTCCCCTGGTCCGCACCAGTTCCTGGTGCTGAGCCCTGGCCAAGGCGGGGAGGAGTGGTCTCAGCCTTCCTTCTGTGATGGATAAAAGAGGCTAGAATTTAGGTTGCAAGGTAAAAACAGGTTTATTAATGCTAACAAGCAAAAGCGGCTAGCCGGGCGACCGGGGGAAACCCTTGCTCCACCACAGTCCGCAAAATGGGGAACCGAAACAGCAGTAATTATAACTCTTATTGACCCCACCCCCCTAAGTCATGTCCATAGTCCATTGGTGGGGTTTTCGCGGGCCATCCTCTGCTTGGTTCCTCTTTCGCGGGCTAGTCTGAGGTTGGCTCCTCTGTTCGCGGGCCTTTGCCGTTGCTGAGGGGCTTCTACCAATGATGTCAAAGTCTATAGTCTCTATGAGGCCGTGGTCCTGGAATTTTCCATCAGGGGATGTCATCTAATCATAGGACTCCTCGTGGCTTGCCCTCCATATTAGTTCCTATTAATATGCTTATAACAAATATCTTTAAAACACCAAATCATTCTGCGCTGTGTTAACAAACTCGTGGTTAGGGATTTCACAATTAGTTCACTCATGACTCTGAACAATGTGGTTAGTAGAATACAATAACATTATTAACCCTTTTGAACAGCAAATTTCCTAGGTTTACTTATAACAATCCCCCCTCCTAATTTCCTCATAAATTTGCTGGTCAAATCTGATTATCGCTTCTCCGGTTGTCTCTGGAAGAGAGACTTGATCTTCATCAGAAGATCTTCCACTCATATCCTCATACTGTTGTTTTATTGTTAATAATTGTACGGTATCAATCCTTTTCTTAGCAAATGCTATAATTTTGTTGAGGATACATGGTCCAAATACTAGAGAAGCAAACAACAGCACTAGGGGACCTGCTAGGGTTGAAACCAAAGCTGCTAACCAAGGAAACTGGTTATGCCAAGTCTCTATCCAACTTTGTGTGGCCTCTCTTTCCCTTTTTCTTTGCAAAATTCCTTCACGCAATTTGGACATAGATTCTTTGATAACTCCTGAATGATTAGCATAAAAGCAACATTCCTCGCCCAATGCCACACATAATCCTCCTTGTTGTAGAAATAGTAAATCTAGTCCCCGTCTATTTTGCAAGACTACTTCTGAAAGAGAATTTAAAGAGGTCTCTAAATATGATATGGATTTTTCTATCCGATCTAAATCTTCATCTACAGCTGTTCTCAAAGCTGTTAACCCATGACTATGTTGGACTAAAGAGGCAACTCCAGCTCCTGTAGCTCCCAGCCCCAAAAGCATTGCTATTGTTATACTTATTGGTTCTCGCTTTTGTATATGATGTTCGTTCATTTCCCAAAATTCAAAAACTGACTCTCCAGTCCGATACAACATGTGAGGCAGAACTGCTACTTGAACACAGAATTCATTATTTCTTCTGAATGCAGAGACAGACACACACGGAACTAGTCCTGTCTTGGAACAAATCCACCATCCACCCTGATGTGGTATGACCCATTTATTCTTTTCCCCTTCTAATTTATTTAACTTGGTACCACATAAGTCTTCACTGCTTGGGGACACATTTCCAATACATGTTCCTTTCCCACTAATTTGGGACATAGTGAGACCAACTTCTCTTTCTCCCCATCTGCACTGACTTGGGTTGTCTTCAGTGCTGAAATTAAAAGTAAGGTTTAACCCCACTCCTTCATAGAAGGGAGGTTTCACATTATAGCACAACCAGCAAGATTCAGTCATATCTGGATCAGTGTAATTAATAGCTTTATATGAGGCCTCTACCATATTTAGCATTGATTCTACTTCCCCTTGGGGTACCTTGTTTTCTTTAACTGACTCAGTGGGGGAAGTTTTGATAACCTTTGTTTCCTGTGGCGCTGGTCTGGTGAGGACTTTATTCTCCTTCTCTTTCTCTTTTTCTGGAGTGTCATCCCTGGATTCCTTTATCTCTAGATTAGGTCCTACAAACTGAGAATAGGCTGTTAATGGTTGTTTTCGTATAGTCACATATTCACCCGGATCAGCGTATAACCGATCTAACCTTACTCCCCATGTTCGACCAGTCAACCACCCTCGGTCCTCATGATTGAGAATTTGAACTTGCAAATACTCACAATTAGATGGTTCATTGGGGAGTACAAGTCCTCCAAGGGCAGGGGGTGTGCAATGTGGGGGTCCCCACTGTACTCGCAAAAACTTATCAGGTCTCTCAGGTCTCCATGCAGTAGCAATTGTCTCACAACCCCAGTACCCACAGTGGTAATGCCCTGGATAGTTGCAGAAAGACCTCCCTGGATTAGAAGTCGGGCACCAATATGTTGCTCCCTTGTTCACAGTAACTGAGGGTTTCCCTCCACCTTTTCCACACTGCTGGGGAATAGTAGCCATCAATAAGTCGCAAACAGTTACATTAAATCTAGGAGATATTGCGGTTATTGTTTTTCTTACAATTTTAGAATCCTTTGCCCTGATTAAAGTCCATTCAAATGGTTGGTGGGCACATCCCAGAGAACTCATTAGAACTAATAATTCAACAATCAGTAACCAATTTTGCCCCATTTTGTTTGAGTCTCTTTCTACCGTTCTCAGTGATTTTATTCTTAATTCCCTACACGTGTATCTCTCTGCCTTCCTCCGTCTATTCCTGTGCAGGGAACAACGGGGTTTCAAGTTCTTCTCGGCAGCAAAGATATTCTTCAAGGGACAGCTTAGTTCACTGATTTTTCAGATTGAGACTCATCTACTTCCAAATTTTGGACTCTATTAATTAGTCCCAACAAATCAATGTATCTTCTTCGATTAGGCTTTTCTGATTTCCACGAGAATCTTGCTCGGCAGAGTTCTATTAATGCATTATCCCAATTGGTTTCATAGACCTCCCAGGTCTCTGGGACTAGCCACTCCCAACCACAAAAAGCCTTTATTATTTCAGCTTGTGCTAACTGTTCTCTTATAGATTCAGTCGAACTGGTCCTGCACCTCATACAATAGGGTTGTCCCTTTATAGACACACAGCGCCACTTCTTATCACATTTCTTACACTTACATAATATCCAGCTATAATGTGTGGATCCCGGGTGTTTTATGCAAGGTATTCCGTGTGGGTTTTGTCCTTCTGGTATATCAGTCTCTATTTCGCAACAAAAGGGTAAAACAGTTTGTGTTCCCACTATTCTATATAGTCCCGAACCTCCAGTCTGTTCAGGGATTCCTTCCAGGTTCCAGGAGACAAAATATGATTTCCTCAGAGTCTGTCCTTGAGGTATCTGGAAAAAAGTATATAAGCTAGGCCTTACTGCTTCTTCATCGAAATTCATTGGTGGGCTTTTACTTTCTCAAATCTTATCCGCAAGTCTCCCGGGTTTGAGGTCACTCTCCACTCTGGTCCGGTTACTGGTCCCTTCACCCGTGACGCATGGGTCCACCCTCGTTCGGCTGTTCTTATGGCAGTATCTGTAGTAAGGAGAACAACAAAGGGCCCCTCCCACTGTGGAGTTAGTGATGTTTCCTTCCAAGTTTTAATTAATACCTGATCACCTGGTTGAATTTTATGTATAGCTAAGTCCAAAGGGGGTCTCTGGGTTACAAGTCCTTTCCTTCTTAGCTCTTGTCTCCTTTTCATTAACTCAATAATATACTCTCTTAAATGGACATTCTCAACTGTTGGATGATCTACTGGGGTCCCAAACTCATAGGGCATTCCATACAACATTTCAAAGGGTGAAATACCAGTATCTGTCCGAGGTTGAGTTCTAACATACAACAGCGCCAATGGGAGACACTTTATCCAATTCATTTTTGTTTCTATCATTAACTTAGTTAGATGTTTCTTAATTTCTCCATTCATTCTTTCTACTTTTCCTGAACTTTGTGGGTGCCAAGGGGTATGATATTCCCATTTGGTTCCTAATAACTCTATTACCTCTTTAATTACCCGTGAAGTGAAGTGAGTCCCTTTATCTGAGTCTATTGAGGTCATTATTCCATACCTTGGTACAATTTCTTCCAATAGAATTTTAGATACCACTTTAGCTGTACACCGAGCAGTGGGAAAAGCCTCCACAAAGTGCGTTAAATGATCTACCAGCACTAATAGGTACCGATATCTTCCCACCTTTGGCAGCTCTGTAAAGTCAACTTGAATTCTTTCAAATGGTCTTTTTGCTAATTCTCTTCCTCCTTTAATCTTCTTTCTTTAATATCCTCTGTTCACCTTTTGACAAGTCAGACATCCCTCCAGAGTCTTTTTAGCTATATCATACACTCCTGCACATACATATCTATTTCCAAAATGATCTACCAAAGCTTGGGTACTCCAATGTGTCTGTTCATGGAGTCTTCTCATAATCTTATGGGCTAAGCCCTTAGGAATTACCTCTCTCCCATCTGGAAGCAGCCACTTTCCCTGCTCTTCTCTTGCACCAACTTGTAACAACTTTTCTTTCTCTTGAGTACTAAAAGACTTAGGCACATGTTCACTTCCTGATTCCTGCTCATTGATTACCAACAAGGCAGCTCTCTTTGCCTCAGCATCTGCTAGATTGTTTCCTCTAGCTGTCACCTTCAATCCCTTCTGATGGCTTTTTACATATACTACTGCAATCTGTTTCGGACCTCTCAGAGCTCTCAACACTTCTCGGATCAAACTCTCATGCACCAGCCCTTTTCCTTTTGCATTGATTAACCCTCTCTCTTCCCATATTTTTCCAAAGGTATGTACTACTCCAAAAGCATACTTTGAATCTGTAAATACAGTTCCTATTTTCCCTTCTAACAACCGAAGAGATCTCAACAAGGCATAGAGTTCACATACTTGAGCTGACCAAGTGCTACATAAAGATCCGGATTCTCTGACTTGGAAGGTAACCCCATCTACTATAGCATAACCTGATCTTCTCCGTCCATCTATTACCCTAGATGAACCATCAATATAAAGTTTTTCACCTACATCCAATTCCTCTTCCTCTAAATCTTCTCTAATTTTTGTTTGAAGATTTATTACTTGTATACAATCATGGACTATATTTCCCTGAGGTTCGCCATACAAAAACTGAGCTGGATTTTGTAAATGAGTTACTTCTAATTCTAATTTGGATGTATTCAATAAAACACTTTCATATTTCAATAACCTGCTATCAGTCAGCCATTTTTCTGCTCTCTGTTTTAATACTCCTCTAATGTCATGGGGAGTATATACCTTTAGATCTCCACCAAAAGTGACTTTCACAGCTTCCTCCACCAAAAGTGCCGTAGCTACTATAGCTTGTAAACAGGTGGGCCAACCCCTACTGACCGGATCTAGGATTTTTGAATAATATCCCACAGGTTTCTTATGCTCCGCCCACTTCTGAGTTAATACTCCATAAGCTGTCCCGTCTTCTACGTTTACAAATAAATAAAAAGGTTTCTTTACATCCGGAAGGCTAAGTACTGGAGAGTTTATTAAGTCTTCCTTTAGGGCTTCTAATCTATTCTCATCTTCATCTGTCCACTTTACTAGTTTGTCTTTAGTTAATTTTTCATATAGAAACTTTACCTTATTACTGTAATTTTCAATCCATTGCCGGCAATACCCTAAAAGTCCCAGTATTTGTCGAATTTGCCTTTTGCTCTTAGGTACTGGCATTGACAATATTCCCTTCACTCTTTCAGGATCCAATCTCTTACATCCTTTACTTAGCCAACGTCCTAAATATTTTACCTTCTCTTCTGTAAACTGCAGCTTAGATTTAGACACTTTTAGGCCCTTACTACCCAAGAAATTCAAAAGCTTAATACTTTCTTTCCTCACAGACTCAGCATCCTTCCCAGCAATCAACAGGTCATCAACGTATTGAACTAACACCACTCCTTCACTTGGTTTGAAGGACTCCAGCAATTGTTCCAAAGCCTGCCCAAACAGATTTGGTGATTCTGTGAACCCTTGAGGTAGAACTGTCCATCTTAACTGCTGCTTCCTATGAGTGTCAGGGTCCTCCCATTCGAAAGCAAAATAATTCCTACTCTCCTCTTTAAGAGGACAAGTCCAAAAGGCATCTTTTAAATCTATCACACTATACCACTGATGTTCTGGAGACACTTGGCTTAATAAAGTGTATGGGTTAGCAACAACAGGGAATCTTGTCACTGTTCGCTTATTCACTTCTCTCAGATCTTGTACTAATCGATAAGTTCCATCTGGCTTCTTGACTGGTAAAATGGGAGTATTGTGAGGGGACATACAGGGTTCTAGTAACCCTTTTGCCAACAACCTTTCCATGGTAGGCTTTAAGCCTACTTTCCCTTCATTAGGGATTGGGTATTGCCTTACTCTAATGGGTCTATTTGGATCTTTTATAGAAATCTCAAATGGTTCAATATTTAATTTTCCTATGGTATCAGAAGTATACCACACTTCTGGATTAATTTGAACTTCATCTTCTGCCGTAAGGGCATAAATCCTTACTTTCAATTGTTGTTCCGAAACTTCTAAATGAATTCCTAGTTCAACCATTAAATCTCTCCCTAATAAATTATACTCCGCCTCCGGAACTAACAAAAATGTTCCCAATGCAAATTTATTGGAAGCCTCTATTTCAGCATCCTTTATCATTGGTACTTTAAAAGGCTCTCCTTTTGCTCCAATTACTTGAACTTTGTCAGATGATATTACGCAGCCTGGAGGTAGTTGTTGCACAGTTGATCTTTCAGCTCCTGAGTCTACAAGAAACTGAAGAACTTGTTGCTGAGGACCCACTTTCAATTTTATCAAGGGCTCAGTATTCTTTGGGGTCCCCAGCAGATAGAGCCCCTGACCCCTTCAGTCTTCTAAAAAGACTTGCTCATCTCTCTGCTTCTTTTTACAATTCCTCTGAATATGTCCCTTCTGGCCACAATAGTAACATTCAAGTTCTCTGAAATTTATCCTTTTATTCCTTCCCCGCTGTGACCGATCATTGTGATTAAAAGATTCCTTCTTCTCTAGCTCCCTGACACTATTTTGTTCTCCCTTAATGGCTGCTACTAAAACCCTGGTTTGCTTCCTTTGCATGTCCTCTTTTCTCTTCTGTTTCTCCTCTTCTCTTACTTCATCTCTTCTAACATACACCTCCTGAGCCTCTCTCAGCAGCAAATCTAATCCTTTTGTTTGCCAGTCTCTATTCTTTTCCAATTTCTTTCTAATGTCTTCCCATGACCCCTGGACAAACCTAAGCTTAAGTACTGCCTGTCCCATAGCATCATCTTCGGGATCCATCCCTGAATACAGTTGGAAACTTTTTCTTAGTCTTTCCAACCAATCTGTAGGTGACTCCTCTTTTCTCTGATATTCTTTGAACGCCCTATCTATATTCTGTCCCCTAGGGACAGACTCTTGTATTCCTTGAACTATTATACTTCTTAAATCATCCATTAGGGCTCTATCTTCGGGCCTCTGGTTATTCCAATTAGGTTTTTCAATAGGCCACTTAGTTTCAGCAGCAGGACCCTGCTGATGCCTTCTATCCCAATTTCTCATGCCAGCTGCTCTAATCATTCCCCTTTCCTCCACCGTAAACAAGATGCCTAATATAGCCTGCATCTCATCCCACGTATAGGTGTTAGGTCCTAAGAATTGATCAAACCTTTCAGAAACCCCTATAGGATCTTCTAATAAATTCCCCATTTCCTTTTTAAAAGCCCTTACGTCTCCCGAACTAAGGGGTACCGATACAAATCCTATACCTCCTTGTCTCCCTGGCAAGGCTGTTTCACGAAGAGGATATAACTGAGATTTCTGAGGGGGGTGTTCAGTTATTCCGTGAGTCATTGTCATATCATTAAGTAAGAAAGACTCACTAGCTCTATCAACTGGCGAAGGTGCATAAGTGGATGATAAAATGGCGGATTCCCGCCCTTGTGTAGACAAAATGGCGGATTCCCGCCCTTGCATGGATAAGATGGCGGATTCCCGCCCTTGTGTGGACAAGATGGCGGATTCCCGCCCTTGTGTGGACAAGATGGCGGATTCCCGCCCTTGTGTGGACAAGAAGGCGGATTCCCGCCCTTGCGGATTCCCGCCCTTGTGCCGGTACAACTTCCCGCCCTTGCAAGATGGCGGATTCTCAAGATGGCGGATTCCCGTCCTTGCAAGATGGCGGATTCCCGCCCTTGTGTGGACAAGATGGCGGATTCCCGCCCTTGTGCCGGTAAACTGGCGGATTCTCGCTCTGCTGGACTTAAAATGGTGGATTCCCGCCTTTGCACGGATGAAATGGTGGATTCCCGCCCCTGCTCATGTAAAATGGCGGGCTCCGACACCGTTGGAGCACTGGGTGTCACCTCACTATCTCCACTGTATGGAGGAATATAAGGGGGAGGTGAACTCCGGAGTTCAAAATCTTTATTACGATCTACTTGCTTTCCCTTTTCTTTCAGCGGGAACAGCCGGGTAGGTGTACTAGACCCCAACCAGATAACAGCATATTTACCTTCCTCCGGACAATAGGGTCTTTTATCATTAACATGAAAATTCAACATCTCACAAATCCAGTTCTCAAACGTGCCGTAAATCGGCCAACAGATACCACTCCCTATCGGTCTACCTCCCCACACTTCAATGCAATAATAAATCATTGTCTCTCTTGATTTCCCGAGAGTATACGGGTTACTATTCCAACGCTTTAACAAGATTCCTAACGGGCTGTTTGCTGGAATGCCCTGCGACCTAGCCTCAAAGTCGCTACTTTCACATCCTCTTTCTCCCAGAGAATCTAATTTCGCCGTACTCACTACACCACTTCCCTTTTCGGTAGATGAATCTCTAACACAACTCTTCCCACTCTGAGAACCACAGCTGCCTAGTACAGACTGTCGTTTCTCCCGTGAGCACTTTTTTGCCAAATAAATTCTACTCCCTAGTCCTTTCCCTTTCAGGGAACCTCCAGACCTCAGGAGCTGTCCCTCATCAGAGGACCTACTTGGCTGATCTACCGCACAGCCACCCATGGGTGGGGAAACCTTGCTCTTCCCCGAGCCCATCTTCTGGGGTGCCTTCTCTCGTACACACGCTCACTCAAATCACAAACGCTTCCCTCCGGTCGTGGCCTGGTCCCTCGCGGGAGACAGGAACCGCACTACTGGGAGGTCCACAATCGCTTCGTCCCTCTCAGGGAACGTCTCAGACAGGCACACCCCAGGACCCCCTCCCAACCGCCGAGGGGTACGCTATACTCACCTCTCCGTGGGCGAGTCTTCGCTCTTTCCGGCAGTGCTTCTCAGAGCACTGGAGCGGACCTTCCCCGACCAGACAACCCACAACGCAGCCGCCTCGCCTTTGATCGGCTACTGCCCTCAAACAGAGCTCACCTAGCTACCCTTGAGCTAGACGTTGTCTGGACCCGCATGCAGAGATTACGAGGATCTGCAGAACACCTTTTCCTTTTGCTTGTTTGCCTTAATAAACAGGTCGGTATGGAGAGGCTGAATAAAAGAATCTCCCGGGGCCGTCCAAAAAAGGGACGGGGGCGCCCTTCCCAAAGAGTGTTTCTATCACTCAGGGGTCTCCATCCGAGTCACGGCACCAAATTGTGATGGATAAAAGAGGCTAGAATTTAGGTTGCAAGGTAAAAACAGGTTTATTAATGCTAACAAGCAAAAGCGGCTAGCCGGGCGACCGGGGGAAACCCTTGCTCCACCACAGTCCGCAAAATGGGGAACCGAAACAGCAGTAATTATAACTCTTATTGACCCCACCCCCCTAAGTCATGTCCATAGTCCATTGGTGGGGTTTTCGCGGGCCATCCTCTGCTTGGTTCCTCTTTCGCGGGCTAGTCTGAGGTTGGCTCCTCTGTTCGCGGGCCTTTGCCGTTGCTGAGGGGCTTCTACCAATGATGTCAAAGTCTATAGTCTCTATGAGGCCGTGGTCCTGGAATTTTCCATCAGGGGATGTCATCTAATCATAGGACTCCTCGTGGCTTGCCCTCCATATTAGTTCCTATTAATATGCTTATAACAAATATCTTTAAAACACCAAATCATTCTGCGCTGTGTTAACAAACTCGTGGTTAGGGATTTCACAATTAGTTCACTCATGACTCTGAACAATGTGGTTAGTAGAATACAATAACATTATTAACCCTTTTGAACAGCAAATTTCCTAGGTTTACTTATAACACTTCTAATTCTCCTCCCTGGGCAGTTTATTACAGACAGTTGAATACCAATGCTTGGCCTTTAACGGCTGCTCTGCCAACCAGAGGGCCCCCCCTGAAAAATAGGGGAAGTTTGTGTTGTTTTCTCTTTCCAGGAATGCCAGCACTCCCCCCGCTGAAGATGAGAGGAAGGAGTTGCAAGCAGGGCAGCTGCCAGCGGATTTCCCCGAGAAGGCTCACAGCCAGCCAAGATGGGATAATCATTTTTCCCTTAGGCCCTTTGAACTTTGGTTACTTGCTGCTTGAGCAGCATCCTGCCAGACAAGACATTCTTTCTTCTTTTTCAGGATTGGTCTGTATTAGGCCAAATTTTCCCTTTGTTTTTTTAGGAACCTGCTGACAGGTGAGACCCAGCTGCCTGAAACCGATGGAACTTTTAACTGCCCCATAATTGCTTGTGCTGTCAGTTTATTAATGTTTGTGATTTGTTTGTGTTTCCATGGCAAGCAACTTGTTGAGAACTAAGAATATTAGGAGGATTTTATAAGACAAACCATTCTGTGTATTGCCAGTTTGATTTTTGCTAAGTTTATTTTGTCTTTTTACTAAAAAGAATGGGGTGGGGAAAGCTTTTATCTTATGGATGTATAAGTTTGTCTCAGAAAACTCAATCAAATTTAGCCTGGGAGTTGGTACAAGAATTTATGCCTATTTGGAATCCTGTAAATATGTATTAACCTTCCCATTCTGCCTCAGAAGGATTTAGATTTATTATGATTTGGCTAAATTTTTCAGAGATGTTAATGAGTGAACTAAATAATCTTAACAAAAGAAAACATTACATGGAAATGGTTGAGTCCCCCTTCCTAAACCAGAAGGAGGGACGGCCACAGACTGCAAAGGGGACATGGATAAAATACAGGAAGGTCTTTTACCAGCTCTCAAGACCTGTAACCAGTTTTGGAAACACTTGTATTCTCACTTGAACGTGTCTGATGTACTGTTGGGTTTCCTACCCTGTGTCCTAAGCAGGTTTTCTACTTTGCATCTCTTCTTTCATTTTTGCTAATCAATATGGTAACTCTAGTCCACTGTGCACCCCACATGCTTCTAAACTTTGGGTGCAATTTACTGTAGCAGCAATTGTAAAGGAATGTGATGAGGGGAATTTGCCCACTAAAATTAAAAAAATAAAAAAGGGAAAGCACCTGGGGATAATACAGGTAAATTTGAAAGGGAATTAATTTCATTTATGACCCCACCACCAGTAAAACCACAGCTTTTTGTTTTGTGTCAGGACTAAATCACGACAGAGCTCTCCCCTGTGCTCTGTCCCCTGAGAATGGAGTATAGGCCTGATGTAAAGATGTGCTTATATGAACACTCTTTTATATTTTGTATGAGGACTTTGTACACCAAAAGTTAATTTTTCATGGTGTGTAGAATTACCCAGTGGGGCAGGAACGTTGCCAAGAAATTCTTCCAACTCGATGTGCATGTGGCCCAGAGAGAACCCTGTTTTAAAGCCTTTGAACTGTATGAACACACCTCCTTACAAACCCAGTCCCACTTGTTCTGGTGTGCAAAGGGAACCAATTTACTGTGAGACCTGGAGATGCCCTTTGAGTCTTGGCTGAAAAACACGTGTCTTATACGTGAGGTGTGTTTGTTGGGGATCCCCCTCGATGGGATTGAAAAATCAGAACTTGCTGTGGAATTCTGGGACTCATTTCAAGCCCCAAATGTACTTGAGAGACCCCTGGACTTGCAAGACAAGCAGCTCTGGTGCCCCACTTGGGTCAGCTTGGGGTGTTCTGACTCATCACTCTGCTCTGAGGTGGGGGTAGTGCTGCCATCCCTTTGCCCAAATCGTGTCTCTCCTGACCCATGGGCAGGAAGGACAGGGCAGGAACTGAGTTGTCCTGAACAAAGCTGAGACTGGATCACTGACACACGTGCCCCAGATTGTTATACAGTCAGGCAAAGGATAGATTTTCATCTTTGGGTATTTTTTACACCTTCTCTAGTTCTAACACACCACCAGTGGGCCTTGGAAAGTACCCCAGGGCAGGTGCATGCCCTCAGTAATTGGGCCAGGTGTGTGTTCAGAGAGCTGAACTTGGGAGTCCAGCAGGTGTCAAAACTGGCTTTACAGAATGGGTTGGCGTTAGATATGTTACTGTTAAAGGAACAAGGGGGGTGTGGAATGTTAAATCTTCCTGAATGTTGTATTGCCATTCACAATGTAACGGCATCAACTGGAAAAACCTGAGGCAAAACGAAAGCAATGGCTGATCAAACCTCAGAACTTCTGCAATCACTCCAACCCAAGGACTGGCTTCAAGGAATTGGCCCCAGTTCCTGGCTGATGTCCATGTTCCAATCCTTGGGACTGGCGGGGTGGGGGCAGTGGCTGATGAGGATTGGGTTGATGGTTGCAATTGGATTTACATTTTTCATGATTGGAACAGCTGATGTCCGTGGTATGATTACTCTTGTTGTTGTTTCTGCTGTTTGTGTCTTCTCTGCTCTGTCTTGTCTATGTGCACATCACCCTGATGGAAAACCCGTGAACTGAGGAAAAGTCCCTGGCAGAGAGTGTTTGAGCCATGGGGTGGGGGAAGGACTTCAGTGCAGTTCCCTCTCTCCAAACCCTGTCAAAGCCACAGAAGGAACTTGCTGTAAGAGAAGCCAGTGGACAAAAAATCCCCCCTGTGCAGACAGTGAGAACTTGAGATGAGCCCAGAAGGGAGGAATCTGCAAGAGGAAAGAGCTCATGCCAGGCAGGTGGTGAGGCAGATCTGGGGAACCTCCTCCTTCCTGCATCTCAGCAAAAATTCCCCCTGTGGCAGCCTGGGGGAAAGGAAACAACTGCTCACACATGTGCCATCCCAAGTAATGGGAATGGGATCTAGGCCCCTTTCAAACTCCAGGAGTTCAAGTAAGGCAGTAAAACTTAGGAGATTGATGTATCTCACCATACTCAGCCATAAGGTTCACATCTGCAGCGGACACTTTTATAGCATGGAGGCAAGAGGTACCTGCACTACCACTTCATGAGGTAAAGATGACTGACTGTAGTCAGGGGGGGGCTGTGGCAGGAGGGCCTACCCCGAGAAGGCCCAGAAGCCCATCAGAAAATGCCCACAGTGCAGGCTCTCATGCAAGCTGGCTGTGGTGAGTTCTGGTGGTGCCACGGTGGTGGGTTTTGGTGTTGAATGAGGCTAAAACCAGCCTGGTTCACCAAACCCCAAACACATCCTGCTTTTTGAAGTTGGGTGTGGCAGATAAGCTGGTGGCTGGCCTGTAAATTTGTGACTAGCAGTCAATCACTTTATACTATAAAAGTCCAGTCCACTTTTCTGCAGTCAGGTTCTTCAAACCTAACCCTTCTTGGGGTGTATGTGTGGAGATTCCTCCCTTGGGCTGGGGACCCCCCAAGGATACTCCTTGAGGCTGAGCAAAAGAGTTCTCCCCACAAGCATTGGTATGGGTGAGTTACATCCAATCTCTACTTAATGATTATTTCCCTTCTGCTACCTTGAATATAATTGCTTCAGTAATTGCTTCAATAGAGTGCACTGTCCTATCCTACCCTGTGCTAGTAGTAGTCTTAGCCTTTATATTGTGCAGTAAATAATTCTGATTAAGATCTTCTCTCTGTTCACCTGTTGATTTGTCTGATCATTTGTATCAATAAATGATTCATTTTATAGAAACAGTCTCACATTGTCATCCTTCAAACCTGCAGGACAGAAGTGGTTCAATCCCACCTCTGTAATTCCTCAGATTTAAACCATTGACACGATCCAAGGCTAAGATTGGATCCAGGCACACCGAGACTCCTCTCTGAGAAGGACTTTGGAAAGCAAGGGGGTCCTTTCTGCCCTTGTGACTCCCCAGCAGGGCTTGTGTAATAAATGTTGTCTGAGCCTTCCACTCCCACCCCTGACAGTGATCTGGGGGTGTCTCGGCCCTCCTGGTCTTGGAGCCAGAGGAGCTGCTCCCAGGGCTGCTCTCAGTGCTGCTCCTCGTGCAGAAGGAGCTGTGTCATGGCAGTCCCAGCCCTGAGGACGTGCTGCTTGTCCTGGAAAGGGAAAGGAGAGGCTCTGCTGGGAGGGCTGAAGGTCGGTCTGTCCTCCCTGCTGGGAGGGGTTTCCCTTTGCCTTCTGGCCTGCAGGAGAAGGGCTCCCTGGAGAGCAGAGAAAGCAGCATTTCCCCATGCTGGCCCCCCAGGCCTCCCTGCAGAAGGGGCCCAGGACTGGGCTGTGTCCCTCCAGGGAGCCCCCAGCCTCGGGCACGGTGCTGGCAGGCTCCTGGCTTGGGGTGCTTTGTCACCCACACGGCCCTTCCCAGACCCCTTTCTTCATGTGCCACCAGGCACAGATGGACCCACGGACGTGGCCATCCCAGCTGCGGCCCAAGGCGTGGGAAGCAGCAGCTCTCTGTCTCCCTCCTGGCAGCCCAGCCAATTGACCAGCACGTAATGGAAGAGGGGGTAAATGTCTTCACAGAGCTGCACTTGCCGGCTGCCAGGGAAGGGGTGTTGCTCCTGGGTGACATATTGACCCCTTTGGACCATTGTTTCACAATTGTGCCAGGAGAAGAGAAAAGGGAGCACTCGAGACTCTGCAGCCAGGAAGGTTCCTTGCACCCTCCCCCAAGCCAAGCTTTCCGGGCAGTCCCAGGCTCAGCCCAGGACCAGCTCTGGATCCAGGCTCAGCCTGTGCCCTGTGGTATCTGGATTCAAACCCCTGGCTGTTTCTCTCCTCCTCCCCATCGCACCTTTTCCTCCTAAGTGGCTGTTCCCCTCCAGCCTCTTCCACTGCACCCCTGCACTTCCCCTCCCAATACTCACCCTTTTAACCCTAAAGCAAAGCCAGGGAACAAAGCACTGGGGAAGGGGCCCTGCAGCTCCTCCACCCCAGCACTGGGGAAGGGACCCTGCAGCTCCTCCACCCCAGCACTGGGGAAGGGACCCTGCAGCTCCTCCACCCCAGCACTGCCACATCCTGCCCACAGAAACCTCCCAGGCTTCCCCGGCTCCTCCTGCTCACTCACAGCAGTTGGGGATCGCCAAAGCCTGACCTTGCAGCAGGCTGACACTCCCCATGTTCCCTCTGAGATCACAGGGAGGCATCCAAGGTCACTCCAGCCCCTGTCCCCGGGATCCCGGCCAAGGAGCCGACACTCAGCACTGCAGACGGGCACAGGATCCGGCCCCTCCACACCCGACTGGGCACAGCAGGGCGGGAGCGGCGTTCCCACGAAGGGGATGCACCGGGGGCTGCGGAGAAGGCAGAGACAGGCACTGAGAGGAGGAGGGAGAGACACAGGAGGCTGGGGCTGTTCCCTGGCAAGGCTGGGGCTGCTGGGCCATGCGGGGTGAGCCAGGGGGTGTGGGGAGAGCTGTCTTCCTAAGGGGGACCCAGAGGAGCCCTTGAGGCAAATGAGGAGGACAGAGAGGGGCAGAGACCCTGCAGGTTTTTCCCAGCGGGTTCCTACCCTGCAGGAACTGGGATTGGGCTGGTAAGGCAGAGTAACCGGCTGGCCCTGGCTCAGAGCAAGGAGGTACAGCAACTTCGTAGCCCCCAGTCCAACAGGGAGCTTTAGAGAAAGGGGAGGGACCTCCCCATGACCGCAGACCCCTGCCCAGACCAGGGGGCCGAGAGTGCTGTGCCGGAGCTGCGGCCACTTTGCCCAAGGTGAGGAGCACAGCCTCACCAGGGCCCTTCCCCGTGGCCTTCAGGTGGCTCTGGAGCTTGGACAGGGCACAGTGGGAGCAGGAGGGGGTCAGAGCCACCCAGATGTCACTCACAGCTGCCGTCACATCATCTGTCACCCCCTGAACAAGCACCACGGGACAAGCTCGTGGCTTCCATTATCTGGTGGTTTGACACTGTAATGGAACTACAGTGGTATTTTTTCCTGTCATGGGTCCTTTTTCCTGTCATGTACGTGCTTTGCCCACGGAAATAGGGAAGGTCTCCTTTCCAGGACGAAGCCATCCCAAATGTCCCGTTGCTCTGGTGGCAACTCATGGAAGTTGTTCATTTCTGCAGCTTTATTTGCAAGCTGTTTCCTTCCACCTCTGGCTTGGGCTGCTGAGGCTGCACCAGCAGCTCCACTGTGCAGGGAACAGAGGCTCTTTGGCTCTTTGGTCCCTTAAGCGTCAGCTCATTTGGATCTTCCTCTGGAAACCACCCTCACAAAACCTCCTATTGATGCACAGATAGCACATAACAGTGACAATGGGAAGCTGATGTCCAGTTACAAATCTCAGACTTCCCGGAGCTGGGGACTGTCACTTCTTAACTTCATTTGCTGCCCCTTGTTTCCCTCACCTGCTGGAACACTCTCAGCACCCTGTCTCTTATTATACCCAGAGCTATTCTGGGGTTAGGTTGCCAGCTTTTGAGCAAAGCTCTATTCTAACTGAGAAAGTTTTGGGTAGTCCCATTTCTGGAGAAAATTTATTTATTCTAGAATTCTATGATTGATGAGGGTTTCCTTTCTTCAAACCTTATAGGTTATGTCCTATAAAAGAAATACTTTTTTGAACTCAATGAATCCTGCTTTTTGCCAGCTGGGGTCCTATCTGTGCAGGTACTACTGAATATGGAACAGTTCTCCTCTAGTTGGGGGGGGCTTTTTTGTTTTGTTTTGTTTTGTTTTGTTTTGTTTTTTTAATTAATTTCTTAGCAGCTGTATCAGGGAGAGTTCGGAAGGAACAAAACCAATATTTATTAGCAAGAGGTGGCCAACAAAACGAAAAAAAGCCAAGAGAGAGGAATGAGGAGAAAAATAAGCCCTCAGTACGACTCCTCAGTCCCCCAGGTGTTGCTTCTGAAGTTATCTCACCGCCCCAGAATGCCCAGAATTGCCCAGAGCAGAAGCTGCACTCTGGGACAGTCGGCAGGCTCACAAGGTCGCAGCGTCCCCGCAAAAGGCAACGTTGTCCTTTCAGGTGAAGTTTGTGTCTCCCGAGCACGAGCCATCTGCTTTTTACCCAATTAATTGGTGAGGTCTGCCTGGGCAGGTGTGGCCAGCACCGCCCAGCCAGAGGCCTTCAGTCCCTGCCAGCGTTCTGGAAGTGGTGCCCCTTCTGCGCATGCGTGTGTCCTTTGGAATTCCCCCCACGCTTGCGCGCTGTACTTCAGGGGGTCTGGGGCCATACTTCATCCCCCTCCTCTTCACTTTCTTCTTCAAATGCCCTTGGAAGGCCATCAGCCAATAATAAGACATCAATTAATTGAAGTTTGTACAAAATGCTTCCTTCAAGGACCAAGTTCCCGTTCCACAGTGCTTGTTTTCTCCTAACTTGGCAGGAAAAGGAGAGACTCCCCCAGGTGGCTGGGCCAAAAACAGACCAAAAGTATCAACATCTAATACAACCCTGATACACCCACAAAGAAAAAGGGAAATTTCTTCAGCCTGCTTGCGGTGCATTGTAGTGTCCCTCCCCTGAGAAAGCTGGTGCAGAACTTGTGGGCCTTCACTTGGTGTTGTCATTGGGACAAAGTGGGACAAGATGTGTTTGAAAGTTTCTTCCTGCCCTGCTGTGTGCTGCCCGTTGGCTGGTGGAGCAGCAGAGCAGAAATTCACTGTTGGCATCTGGCAAAGCAGCAGGAGAGAGCAGTTGTGAGGGGAAGGGGGGTGAGGTGTCTGCTCTTCAAGAGGGACAAGACAAAGGAGTTGGGGAATTGTCCTGGAACTCTGGCCTGGCAGGCTTGGAGCGCTGGGTGGGCATTTCTTGAGAGCTGTGGTGGCCCCACTTCCTCCTGAGCCTCATTTGATGGCAGTGTGTCCAGAGGCAGCCCGGCTCCAGGCTGAAGCAAAAAGCCAGAGCGGGTGATGCGGGAGCTGCTCCAGCGCCTACCGCAGCCTGCGGCCCGGTGGGAGCGTCCCGGGCCCTGCCCCGGGGCGCCCTGAGGCGGGGCAGTGCCCACTCCCGCCGGCCGCCCTCACAAGGCCCAGGCCGCCTCCTTCCCACAAGGCCCAGCAGGGCCGCCCTCACACCTGCCCCGCCCTGCCCTGCCCCGCCCGGCCCCACCCTGCCCCGTGGCCTCTGTCACACCCCACGCTGACGTGCTGAGCCTTCCACCAGCCATTGTGACGCCACAGGCGCCAGTCGGGCACGGCTTTGTTGGTGCCCGCAGCCGGCGCTCAGAGCTGCTGGAGCCTCTCGGGGAGCAGCAGCACATCCCGCTCGGGGAGCATTGCGCGCCTGCATCGCCGTCTTGGCAGCTGCAGGCCACGACCACTGCGCAGGGCGACCTCGTCTGCCTTGTGCTTCATACCCTGTGCCCGTCCTTCTTCTCGTCCCCTTTGTCACCCTCCCCCTAAACCTCGCCCCGTCCCATTCCTCATCCCCACTTGGCTCCCGGCAGCCCGCCGGGGCCTTCTTGCCCTTCCTGCTGCTGGGAGCTCCAAGCAGGGCCATGCCGTGGCTTCTGAGCAAGAAGCGACGGCAGTCGCCCTCCAGCAGCCCCAGTGGGCAGCCCTGGGCTGCCACCAGCTCCAGCAGCGCCTCCCAGCTCCGGGAGCAGGGGCTGGGCAGGCTGCACCGCGCGGCCGCCCGCGGTGACCTGGGCTGGCTGAGGCGCTGGCGCTGGTACGTCAAGGTAGTCGGCATCGACAGGCCAGACCAGGAGATGCGGTGAGTTCTGGGCCACGCTGATGGCACACCTTGGCTGCTCCTGAGCCAAGCTGCAGTAGTCCTCGGCAGCCCTCTCTTAGGGACAAGGCTTGAAAAGTGACATTTGCCCTGTCAGCTGGGACAGGGAACTCTTGAGCTTTTCACTGCTCGGAGCTGCCGGCCGGGCTCCAGCGCTGTTGCAAACGCGTCTTGCCCACCTGCCCCTTGGCCGTGCTCTCTCTGCAGGGCTGTTCTGCAGCTGCTCAGCCCTCACCTGTTCTCTTCTGCCCTCTGGCTCATCAGGGCAGGGTTGCAGCAGCAGCAGCAGCAGCAGCAGCAGCAGGAGGAGCAGAGTCCGGGCAGGGTCCCCAGGGTGCTGGGTACAGACACAGCTTGGGCTCATCCTTTGTCTGTCTGGGTTAAGAGAGTCTGTTTAATTTTTAGGACACCTCTGCATCTGGCTTCAGCCAATGGCCATGCAGATGTCGTCAGATATCTGCTAAGAAAGAACAGCCAGCCCAACCTCGCTGACAGCTTCAAGAGAACGGCCCTGATGAAGGTGTGTGCAATGCCTTCTGAGCTTGGAGGTGGGGCTCAGTGCTGGGGTGTTAAAGGGGAGGTGTCTGGCAGGATTCCTTGCAGGGCAGGGCCATAGAAACACGCCTATTGCAATGGGCAGGGCACAGCCTCTGTTAGCTGATCTTTGCAGATGGTCTTCTATGGCAGCACTCAGGAGCTGAGGGAGTTGTGAGAGAGGGGGATGGAAAAGTTGGAAGCCTTTCCCTTTTGGTGTGTTGTTGCCAGGCAGTCCAGCAGGAGCAGGAAGAATGTGTTGCTGTTCTGCTGGAACACGGTGCCGACCCCAATCTGGCAGACGCTGACGGCAACACTGCCCTTCACCTGGCTGTGCTCTCTAAAAACACAGCTGTAGCAGGGCTGTTACTGGAGCATCATGCCAACAGTGATGCTCAGAACCAGGTAACCTTGGCACGTGGCTAAAGCTGCTCTTTCCAAGAGCTGCAGAGCTTGTCTGTGTCTTTCTAATGGGGATTCTTTCTCCTTTTAGTGGGGATTTACCCCCTTGAAACTTGCAGCCTTGCAACAGCACGAGGAGATTCTGGAGTGCCTTGTGAACAAAGCAGCTGACAGGCCTGCTCAAGCCCAGGGGGAAAGGTGAGGGCTTTGTCAAAACAGCCCCCGGGTGTTCTGGGTAGTCTGCAAGTGTGACCCAGACGAGGGGCGTGGCAATGAGCTGGGCAAAAGAAGGAGCAGCCCCGTGGAAGCAGTTCCCCGTGGGACTGGTAAATGCAGGTCTGCCCTTGGCTGCTCTCGTACCTCAGGGGCTCTCGTCCTTTGCCCGCTGAGGTCTGCAAGAAAGCCTTGTCTGTGGTGCCCTCTCCCCACCCAGAGCCAGAGCCCCGGGGAAACTTGCCAGTAGCTCAGCAGCGTGGCTGCTCTGCAGGCCAGGGGGGTTTAAGGCACGGCAGAGTTGGGGCGTTCAGTGCTCTGAAGGGAAGCGTTGGGGGAAAGAGAAGCAACACTGTCCCAGGGGACACGAGGGGCTCCGAGCACAGAAGGAGAAAACTTCCTGCCATGGAGATGGTCAGGGGGTCGAAGGGCTTGCCCTGGGAGTTTGTGCAGCCGCATGTGGGGGGACTTTGAAGAGCAGTGCAAGGAGCCCTGAACAGCATGGCCTGAGCTGGTAGTTGAGGCTGCTTTAGGGAGGCCCCTTGTAAGAGAAATTCTCCAATGCTTCCATGGACTTGGCTTTGCTTTCCCGGAGCTTGTAGGAAAGGGGGGAAGAGCTGTTTTGGGAGCAAGCAGGGGAAAACTGATGCAGGGTCAGACACGTTTCTGATGAAATTTTGCATGCTTTAGGAGTGCTCTTGTGGTTCCTGGAAGCCATGAGGCTCACCTGGAGGAAGATAATCTGCGCTTGCAGGAGGAGCTGGACAGGGCTGGCGCGGAGGTATGGAAAGCCTGTCCCCACAGGGAGAAACCTGGGGGTGCCTGTTGCTTCCTATCCATCCTGAAAACGGACAAAACAGTGTTCAGTGTGTTCATTGGGGAGTAGAAGTGAAGCTTTGAAGGGACTTGAATGGATTGCAGTTCTTTGGGCAGAGGGGATGCACACAGACATGCAGCACCTGAGTTCTTCAGCAGCAGCTGGCTCCTCTCTGGAAAAGCTCCCCTGACAACTGTGGATTCTTCCCGTGGTTTTACAGCTGCAGGAGGAGGAAGAAAAGCATCTTCAGTCTGAGCATTGTGTTCCTGACTTGAAGACTGCCTTGGATGCCAAGAAAAGAGAGGCAGTAACTTCTTCCCAGGAACTGCAGGACCTCCTGTTGGCATCTTGTGAGACCAATCCGACTGTGAACCAACTGGAAGAAGACGCGCAAGAGTAAGAGAGGAACCCAGTGAAGCGAGGGGTCTGTGGCTTTGGGGATTGGGTGGAAACAGGGGGAGAGTCAGTGGGATTTTGAAGGACACTTCTGCTGTGGCTTCTGTTCCTTAGCACAGTTTGTCTGGCATTGGATTTTCTGGTAATAAGAGCTGTATTTCTTCTTAAGCTTTGCAAGTGAGAACAGCAGATTGGAAGGCACTGTCCAGCAGCCAAGCGAGAGCGTTGAAGCCCTTCCGAGAGCCCTGCAAGCCTCTGCCTCAGTAAGCTGGTGCTAAATTTGCCTTTTTGTGACTCTTGAGCCTAGTTGCCTATTTCTGTGGGGCAACTGTCAGATGAAGTTTTCCTGGAGAGCCTGGGGAGCTCAGTTTCTGCCTTCTCCTCAGCAGAGGCTGCTCAGAAAGCAGCCTGGTCCTTTCCCCAGCTGCTACAAAAGCCCTGAGGGTATTTGGTGTGCTGGACACTGGAGGAATTCTTAGATTCTAAATGAGGAGTTTCATCATGAGCTCCAAGGGACCCAGAAGTATTGTTGCCAGAAGTGTCTCCCAAATTCTTAAGTAGGTGTAAAGTTTCTTCTTTCTGTTGGGGAATCTTTCAAGTGTTTCCTAGGCTGGTTTCCAGTAGATGATAAATACAGTTGCCATGGCCACCCCCTTGAGAGGTTTTCCCAGAATTCACTGCCTTTAGATCACGCTGAGTTTCCTTTTCTTTTATTTCTCTGTGCACAGGGTGGTGAACTTTCCCAGCAGCTGGACATGGAGCCTGGAACAGGCATGCAGCTCGAGGCCCTAAACCAGGCTTTGCAAGAAGAGCTGTCCACTCTGCTTGGGAAGTGTGAACAACTGGAGAAGAGCAAATGTCAGCTGCAAGAAGAGGTGACAAAACACCACCATCATTTGGAGACTTTGGTGCTGGATGGCAGCCAAAGAGAACAGTGTACAGGAGAGGTGGCAGAAGGAGCTGACCAGGAAAGAAGTCCAAAGCTACAAGAGGTCAGCCTCGTTTTGCAAGTAAGTGAATTTCTCCCCAGTGTCCACAGGCTCTTCATTAGGAGCTTTGAAGCAGAGTGCTCATTTGGGCTTCTTTCCCACTGCAAAGAATTGTTTGCCCTGGTAGCTCCTGGGTTCTGCCTTGGTTGCTGCTGGGAGTGAGGAGGCAGAGCCGCCTCTCTGAGTCAGGCTGGGCCCTTGAAAGTGGGTGTGTGCAATTTTGTGCTGGGCAGAGCTCTCTTTTTCTTGTGGTGGTTGAAGGTGCACTGTCTCCTTCAGGCACAGGCAGCCCACCAGGCCCCACTAGGACAAACCAGAGACCATCATTGTGATTCCGTGAGAATCCAGTTGGAAGAAAGGATTAGAAATCTGGAAAGTGAATTGGAGAGGATCAAAACCACCCAAGAAGAGAGTGCTTCTCGTAAAGAAGCAACACAGGGAGAGATGGGGATGTACAAAGAGCTGTATCTGGAGGAAGTTAAAACCAGAAGATGCCTTGCCAAGAAACTGGAAAGGTAAGTCCATGCTTGTTTGGAGTGGTAATAAGAGAGTCCTTTTTCTTCCTGCATTTTCCTTGGAAATCCATCTTCTCCATCTGGCCAGCATTATTGCCCTCCATTGGCCAACAGGGTCTGATGGAGTTGCCAAGACCCTCTCCTTGATATTTGAAAAGTCGTGGCGGTCAGGGGAAGTCCCAGGTGAGGGGAAAAAGGGAAACCCACTGTGCCCATCTTTGGAAGGGGTAGAAAGGAGGGCCCTGGGAACTGCCAACGTGTCAGCCTGCCCTCTGTGCCTGGGGAGGTGATGGAAAAGATCCTTCTAGAAGCTCTGTCAAGGCACGTGGATGACAGGGAGGTGATTGGAAGCAGCAGCACAGCTTCCCCAAGGGCAAGTGCTGCTTGACCGACCTGGTGGCCTTCTAAGATGGAGTGACTGCCTCAGTGGACAAGGGCTACCCATGTCATCTCCCTGTCATTCTGGGAAGCCTTTGACACAGTCCCCCACAACATCCTTCTCTCCAAAGTGGAGAGAGAAGGATTGGATGCGTGGACTGTTAGATGGATAAGAAATTGGGTGAACAGTGCCATGCAGAGGTGGTGATCAATGGCTCAGAGTGCTGAGGGCCATCAGTGCCGAGTGGTGTCCCTGAGGGGTCTGGACTGGGCCCAGTGTTCTTTAATCTCTTCACTAATGATCCAGAGGAAGGGCTGGAGTGTGCCCTCAGCAAATTTGCAGCTGCCACCAAGCTGAGGGG